TGCCTTCCTGTTGCCCAATTCTCTTGTTTCCATCTGAAATCTATGCAAGAGACAAATTTAAAGAGACATGGGAGGGAGATGGCCAACCACAGGATAGGACAGCAGGGAATTCTCATGCGACAAACTCGGCCATGCTGAGCCCACTGGCCTTCTTTAGCTGAGGCTTGCCGGGCCAGTTTCAGCTCCCTTTTTGCTCTCCTGACTGCCTCGGCAGCTGCTGTGTGTGGAGTGCCCTAATATGGCCATGGATGAATTTCATCAATTCTTCTTGGCTTTATGTTCTTATGCCCTAAGCATTGTGAGTTTCGGGCTACACCGCATCCATCCGGGCTCAACAGCCTCCATCCAGGCTAGACAGCCTTCATCTGGGCAAGACAGCATCCGTCTGGGCAAAACAGTGTCCATCCCGGCTAGACAGCATCCATCCGGCCTCTCATCTCTCCCAGGCTTTGGCTTCTCCACAGACCCTTCAAGGACTTCCTTCAGCCTTTGCTTGATCAAACAATGAAGCTCCAAGTTAACATCCCCCCTTCCCTACTCCGTGCTACCCACCAGGATGCCCTGCCCAAAATAACAGGCCTTGTTAAGCGTCATTGAGGGGAATTCTGCTGCTGATAAAGTGAGTTTAGTATATTCCACAACTGCCATAGCAGTAAAATGACAATGAAGGGTTTTGGTGGGGTTTTTTTTTTTCCCCTGAAGTCATGAAACCACAGGGGGAAAAAATAGGAGAGAGAGAAGATGCTAGCCACGAGGTCCTGGCAATCACAACGGCAAGTGTGAGCTCATCTATCAGACTTAGTGCCGACTTTGAAGCCAGGGTGAACTGGGCAGCAGCTCTCTTTGCACCTTAGAAAGCTTGGCAGTGGGGGCCCGGCGCGGTGGCGCAAGTGGTTAAAGGTCCTCGCCTCGCACGCCCGGGATCCCATATGGGCGCCGGTTCTAATCCCGGCAGCCCCGCTTCCCTTCCAGCTCCCTGCCTGTGGCCTGGGAAAGCAGTCGAGGACGGCCCAAAGCTTTGGGAACCTGCACCCGCGTGGGAGACCTGGAGGAGGCTCCTGGCTTCGGACTGGCATAGTATCGGCCCGTTGCGCTCACTTGGGGAGTGAATCATCGGACGGAAGATCTTCCTCTCTGTCTCTCCTCTCTGTATATCCGCCTTTCCAATGAAAAAAATAATAAAAATAAATCTTAAAAAAAAAAAAAAAGAAAGCTTGGCAGTGGATGGCACAGAGCACCCTCAGTGGCAGGGGTGCGATAAAGCCACAGTCAGGAGGATTGGGTATGAGAGGGGCCACAGTGGCTTAACGGGCTAGTCTTCTACTTACAAAGTAAGCATCCTATATGGGCTCTGGTTCATATTTTGGCTGCCCTGCTTCTTACCCAGCTCCCTGCTTATGGCCTGGGAAAGCAGCCTAAAAGAATCTCCCGGCTTTAGATTGGTTTAGCTCTCCCTGTTGGCAGCTATTTAGGAAGTAAACCAGTGGGTGGAACACTCTGTCCTCTGACACCTCCCAGAAAGGCAGCTTCCCTTTCCCCTCATTAGCAGAAGCCTGGAAACCTACTCTTTGCCAAGTGTAAAGCAGGTGGTCTTCATAGACCCCTGGCCCGTGTGGGATCATTGAACCAGACTCAGAAGGCCCACGTGAAGCCTTGCAGGTCTCTCCTGCAACTCTGTTCTCAAAGCAGCCAGCTTACAAGACGCTGCAAGTGCAAGTTTGAGAGATTCATCTCCAGGAAATCCACCAGTCCAGAAGAGAAAGGCTTCAGTAAATCGGTCCACACACATCCCTCTGCACTGAAGACGACTAACGCGTGTGCCCCGCCACTTCACAAATGGCTGAGCGTCATCGTCTGTCCATGAAAGCCTCCAACAGGAAAAGCTCAGCCGTGCAAACAGAACAAAGCGACTTGGAGCCAGAAGCTCTGCAGAAATCATAAACTTGCCCCTCCACCTCAGTGACCATATGTCTCTCAGGTAGAGGTGGTACCCTCAGAGGAAGGACTGCTTGGAAACTAAAAATATGATACCAGACATGAATAACCCAATAAATGGGAGATAAAATCTAGGCCACTGCCCCCAAAATAGGGCTTTATAAAAGGTGATACTAGGGTCTGATGTTGGCACCACAGGTTAAGCTACTGCCTATGAAGCTGGCATTCCTAATGAGTCTCCACTTGTGACCCAGCTCCCTATAATGTGCCTGGGGAAGCAGCAGAGGATGGCTCAAGTGCTTAGGGCCCCTAGCTTCCACCTAGCTTCTCCCAGTTCCCTGCCATTATGGCCATTTGGGGAGTGAACTAGCAGATGGAGACTCTCTCTCCCTCTCTGCCTCCTTACTTCTGCCTGCAACTCTGCTTTTCGAGTAATTTTTAAAAATAGTTCTGGAAAATGAGAGATGAAAGTATGAAAATCAGGGCATTGGCGTAAAAACCTCTGCTCTATATGAGACATTCTAGAAGAAGGAACTAAAAATAAAGAGATGAAAAAACATTTAAAGCAATTTCAAGCAACTTGCCAGAACTGAGAATGAGAAGCTTCTAAAGTCAAAGTCGAAATGACCTACCCAGCTTGAGAAATAGCAAGGTACGTCACGAATGATATTTCAGAACTCGAAGATGCTACAAATCCCAGGGAAGACATTAACAGACTGCATACTAAGGACAAAGAAAACAGAATGGCTCAGCAGTGGAACAGGACCTTCACATCCCTAGAGAATATTTTCTGCTTAGAATTCCATACCTAGCCAGAATATCTCAAGGTGGAATAGACGCTTCGTGATAATGTGGATTTTACAAAGTTGGCTTCCAAAATGTCCTTCTCCAGGAATGCACTTGTACTTCACCGAAGCCAAGGAGTCGAGAGAGTTCCCTGGTTGATGAGGCATGCTCCCCAGTGCTGCCGTATCAGCTGCTGAGCAGATCCAGAGAGCAGACAGCCAGGAGACAGAGAAATACGGGGATGCTAAGCAGGAAGTGTGGGAAACTGCTGATAGCAGTCACCTTGGAACTGAAAGCAGAGAATGGCGAAGGGATATTTCTCCTTACAGTTATGTGATGCTTGAATCTTTGCCCTAGCATGTATTACTTCTCTAATTTTTTTTTTTTAAATAGAAAGGGTGGGGACCAGGAACCAGGCCCCTTCCTAGCTAGATGCTTGACCCTTCGGTAAGGATGCCAGACTTCCGCTTTGGCTCAGAACCTGCCGAGGAGTTTTGCTGGGGAATCTATGTCCTCTACGCAACCTTTCCTGACAGTATTAGGCTCCTGCTTTCTGTCTATAGGAGAGGGAGGACCTAACTTTCTCCTGGAACACAAACCTTTCTCACCCGTTTCAGTGTTGGACTTTCCCTGCATAGGACCAGGGAGGGTTCCTCTGGACTCCTGGGCTGTGGTAGTCTTTCTTTAGCAAGGGCCTATCCATAAGCGTTTTCCCCACCATTTCCAAGACCCTGTTTCCCAATCATTAATCTCAGATGAAAGATTTGGCACTGTAGGCTTCCTCTGTCTTTGACCTCAGAGAAACATGTTGTGAATAGTTGTTTGTTTGCTTGCCAGAGATCTGATCTTTCCCTGGAAGGGCTGATTGGATCATAAAACCAGCATTAAATATGTGTCCTTGGTATTCTGGCTCTTCCGAATGGGTGGTAGGATATCTCCATCAAGGGCAAAATGGGAGCAGTGATATATGTCAGAGCAAGAGAAGGTTTACTGTCACTTGATAATGACTGTATTTCATAGTAATGCAATTTAAAACAACTCTGTAGTATGCTTTCAACCTTGGACTTTCTTTGCCGTTTTTCAGTGTCTTTGGATAAATCACCACAGAGCAACCCAGCCAAATGTCCAAGCCACCCACTTCCCTATTCCTGGCACATGAATTAGAGGGAGGCCAGCTGAACTCTGGTCCAAGCACTTAACTGACTTGTAGATCTGACTTTTGTTCCATGATATGAAACAAACAAAAAAGGAAAAAATAAAAAGTCCAGATATTAGCTAATTACCCCCAAACACCTCCAGCCTCTATAGTCCTGGCACACATGTGAAGCTGCCAGACAAGCTCTCTGTGAATGCAGACACTGGGACGGAGAGAAGACCCTGACCTCATGTGTCTCCCTGAACTGCAGCACTCACTTCTAGGCTCTTAAACTTCAGTGAAACCTGCCCAGAACAATTGTGAAAAACTTGGAAAACAGGGCCACTGAAGAAACATTGTAGGAGGCAGAGACACCAAGCTTAGGAAGTGAGAAATGTGATGAACAAGAATCGTGGGAACAGTAAGGGGAGAACAAAAGAAAACTGGTGTGTGTGGTAGTGCAGAGAATTTGGTTTAAATGTTACGAATGATCTTGCTTAAAGTTGACCGGGAATGGCCACAGCACCAGCCACTGTAGTCAGTTCACTTGGTCCATGGGCCAGGGTTCGCTGAGGCAGCCTCTCACTGGATGCCAAGACTCTGCAAGTTGGAGCAGTGGGAGAAATGTGACCATGTGGCATGAGTCCAGCACCTCTGCTTGGCCGCAGGATCTTATCAGGGATAGGACAGACTGGCCAGGCAGGGTACCATGAAAAGTGACAGACAGATCAGGTTGAAAGCATTCCAGAAAAGTCTCTTTCTGGCCCCTTGTTACCAGGCATGGCCATTTTTAGAAAGCAGGAAAAACAGTACCTGGAGAACATGTCTGAAAATGAGCAGAGGTACTACAGTAGTGGTGAGAAATGGAGGGATGTGGTGTAATTGGATTAATCCATAAATGACCTAGTCTTTGTCACAGAATTTTCTGTAGGGGAGATACCAGTTAGGAGGAGAGTCTCTTTTCTTTATTAAAAAAAAGTCACCCAATTGCAGGGAAACTTCAGCCACACCCTGAGTTAATGGGTAAGCCCAGTACTGACCCTGGGAACAGTGGTCCGGAGCCATTCTTCCACCAAAATGAGACATGTGTTTCCCACCATGGCTTCTGTTGTAACGGCTGACCTTGATCTTCCCCATCCTGCAGCTGGGATGAGAGCAGCTCCATCAGCAGTGGACTCAGCGATGCCTCGGACAACCTCAGCTCAGAAGAGTTCAACGCCAGCTCCTCGCTCAACTCCCTCCCGACCACTCCCACTGCTTCTCGCAGGAACTCCACAGTAGTGGTACATATGGGGGTCTGCAGAAATCCAGGCCACCTTCTCAAATGGGCCCCTGGGCAAACGGGGCAGTGCCTGTGCTGGTAGGAGGGGAAGCTGGCGCAGGCACCTGTATTCCATGGGATCAAGTCTGCAGACAATTGGCCAGATTCTTTAAAAACCAGTCAAGAAAAAAAAAAAAATAGTGCTAATCAGCCAACACATTAGATGTGGTCATAATGTCTGTATGGTGCCCACACTAATCTGGGGTGCTACATATGAGAGTCATTCCAATGGGAGAAGACAGAGCAGTCCAAATATCCTGCCTCTCTCTGGGAGCCCTAGGAGTAGGGGTAGAAACCCTGGCTTAGTCACCTGCTAACCAAAATAGATCCCCTTGCCTGTCTCTCACCACATGAGCATCTCCATCCACCTTTCCCTTCCCTTCTGCTCTGCAGCTGCGCACAGATTCTGAGAAGCGCTCACTGGCTGAAAGCGGGTTGAGCTGGTTTAGTGAGTCAGAGGAGAAGGCCCCCAAAAAGCTTGAGTACGACAGTGGCAGCCTGAAGATGGAACCTGGGACTTCCAAGTGGCGGAGAGATCGGCCCGAGAGCTGTGACGATTCCTCCAAGGGCGGGGAGCTGAAGAAGCCCGTCAGCCTGGGCCACCCTGGCTCCCTGAAAAAGGGCAAGACTCCCCCTGTGGCTGTCACCTCCCCCATCACCCATACGGCCCAGAGTGCCCTCAAAGTCGCAGGTAAGCCAGGAAAGATGGATGGCACAAGTTTCTCTGCTTGTTTCTCTTCCTGAGGGCCATGATCCTGGAGGGTGACAGCAGACTTTTGCATGACAGCTAGAGGCACATCACCCTATCTGGTTTTCAGGGCAGTCCTATCAGTTATGAGAGGTGGGTAGTACTGCCTACACCTGTCAAACTTGGGAACTGGTCCTGGCAAGAGGATAAGTGACTGGGCCACAGTCACAGAGCTCGAGAGTTGGTGGAGTGAGATGTGGCGTTCAGGATCCAGACTGGCCTCCCTTCCCATACTGCCCATTGCTTTCTAACCCAAGGCAAGTTGCTGTTGATAACCTGCAGGGAAGTCCTGAGCAAGTTATGACCTCAGGACAGTTACCTTAAACATCAGTGGATGGTCTTAGTTGTGAGGGACCACCTGCGTGACACCCCACAAAGATCGTGAGTAGCTGCCCAGTCTGGTGCCTACAAAGAAAAAATCATGGGCCATAGTTGGACTTCATCAACTTTTTCAGCCAGTCCTGCACAACTTGGGGATGGTGCTATCCTGTCCTTATTTTCCTCCTGTTTGACCAGTTGTTGGGTGCACTCCCTTCCCCTTCAACAGAAACAACAAAATCCTACCTTACCAACCCTGCCTACCGAGTCGGCCTACTAACATAGTTCCACAAGCTAATCTAGCACCGGCCTACCCACATTGGAGCCTGTAGGGTACTATGAAGGCTTCCCTTCTCTCACAAAGGAAAGCAAAAAGAACATGTAAAGTTCTAGTTCTGATCCATTTCAGCTACTTCTTTTATGTCTCCTGACCTCTTTTAGGCAAGCCTGAAGGCAAGGCCACAGACAAGGGCAAACTCGCCGTGAAAAACACCGGGCTGCAGCGTTCCTCCTCGGATGCTGGCCGGGACCGCCTGAGTGAGGCCAAGAAGCCACCATCGGGCATCGCACGGCCCTCCACTTCAGGCTCCTTTGGCTATAAGAAGCCACCCCCTGCCACCGGCACCGCCACCGTCATGCAGACTGGTGGCTCAGCCACTCTCAGCAAGATCCAGAAGTCCTCGGGCATTCCCGTGAAGCCTGTTAATGGGCGCAAGACTAGCCTGGATGTGTCCAACAGTACAGAGCCTGGCTTCCTCGCTCCTGGAGCCCGCTCCAACATCCAGTATCGGAGCCTGCCCCGGCCAGCCAAGTCTAGCTCCATGAGTGTAACCGGTGGGAGGGGTGGCCCACGCCCTGTCAGCAGCAGCATTGACCCCAGTCTCCTGAGCACCAAGCAGGGAGGGCTCACACCCTCCAGACTGAAGGAGCCTTCCAAGGTAGCCGGTGGACGGGCCACTCCGGCACCGGTCAACCAGACAGATAGGGAGAAGGAGAAGGCCAAGGCCAAAGCAGTGGCCTTGGACGCAGATAACATCTCCTTGAAGAGCATTGGCTCCCCGGAAAGTACTCCCAAGAACCAAGCAAGCCACCCACCGGCCACCAAGCTGGCCGAGCTGCCCCCAACCCCTCTCAGGTGAGGTGCCACGCTCGAGCAGTCTCTACCACATCTGTTTGTTCTCATGGGTGTCCACCTACAACTCCTCACCTAAACCAGGCACGGTGTGTCCCCTGCTTCACACTGCGGGTGCCCCAAGTCAAGTATCAGATTTTCACAGCCACATTATATAAGCCTCTGAGCCTGGCAAATAGCCAGAAGCCAAAGTATTGGGGCTGGTGGGTCCCAGTGGTCCCATGTTCTCTTGTTCTGATTCTGTTATCCTCAGTATTTTCTCTTCATCTCTCCCAGGACCACAGCCAAGAGCTTTGTCAAGCCACCCTCACTCGCCAACCTGGACAAGGTCAACTCCAACAGCCTGGACCTCACCCCGTCCAGCGACAACCACGCACCCAAAGTCTCAGATCTCCACACCACAAGCTCCACCTCAGGCGGTGCTCTCTCTTCCTGCTTCACCCCCAGTCCAGCCCCCATCCTTAATATTAACTCTGCCAGCTTCTCCCAGGGCCTGGAGCTAATGAGTGGGTTCAGTGTCCCGAAGGAAAGCCGTATGTACTCCAAACTCTCAGGCCTGCACAGGAGCATGGAGTCCCTCCAGATGCCAATGAGCCTGCCCAGTGCCTTCCCTAGCAGCTCACCCGTCCCCACACCCCCTGCTCCAGCTGCTGCTCCTGCAGAGGAAGAGGCTGAAGAACTGAGCTGGAGCGGAAGTCCCAGGGCCGGGCAGCTGGACAGGTGGGTGGCCGGGCAGCTGGACAGGTGGGTGGCCGGGCAGCTGGACAGGTGGGTGGCCGGGCAGCTGGACAGGTGGGTGGCCGGGCAGCTGGACAGGTGGGTGGCCCAGGCCAGAGCTGAGCCCGAGCCTGCTTCTATGCCATAAACTCATATAGTCCCTAGCAGTACTATTTTGTATACACCATTGCTGCTTGGTGATTTTCAAATATTATCTCATTTGTTAAGTTATTTCGCTGCCTTTACAGCTCCATAGGACCTTGTAGGCTTTGTTTAATTATCATTCTTGAATGACGTGTTCAGGAACTCATGCCTGGTTGAACCTGTCTTCCAAAGCATCCGCTTCTGAGTCCAGATTGATTTCTGTTGTCATGACCCAGTCTTCATCTCCCATGTGGAATCAGTGAGAGAAAATGCATTCAGTGGGCCCGGCCCGGTGGCCTAGCAGCTAAAGTCCTCGTCTTGAATGCACCAGGATCTCATATGGGTGCTGGTTCTAATCCCGGAAGCTCTACTTCCCATCCAGCTCCCTGTTTGTGGCCTGGGAAAGCAGTCGAGGACGGCCCAAAGCCTTGGCACCCTGCGCCCACGTGGGAGACCCGGAAGAGGCTCCCGGCTTAGGATTGGCTCAGTTCCGTCTGTTGCGGTCACTTGGGGAGTGAATCATTAAATGGAAGAACTTCCTCTCTGTCTCTCCTCCTCCTGTATATCTGACTTTCCAATAAAAATAAGTAAATCTTAAAAAAAAAAAAAAGAAAGAAAGAAAAAGAAAATGCATTCAGTATTCCTGATAAAGGTCCCAGGTGTAAGCCCAGTAAAGGCCATTTTGTTTATAGAGATGAAGGGATTTGTGTTTTATGTTTTATGTCTGGAGTCTAGATCCCTGAGACCTATAGTTCCAAACTGAGTCCCTTTGTTATTTATTTGTTTGTTTGTTTGTTTAACTATATTTATTTGAAAAGCAAAATTATAGGAAGGCGAGAAAGAGGTCTTCACTGATTCACTCCCCACATGGCTGCACCCAGGAGCCTGGAACTCCATCTGAGTCTCCCACATGGGTGACAGGGGTCCAGTTACTTGGACCACCTTTTACTGATTTTCCAGGCATACTAGCAAAGAATTGGAACAGCTGAGATTCAAACCAACACCTATATGATATTGCTAGTGTAACAGTCAGCAGCTTAACCCCTCTGCTTCACAATGCCAGCTCTCAAGCTATAGTTTGCAAGATAGACCCACATACTTCCTCTCTTTCTTTGTCTCTACAGTAACCAGCGGGATCGGAACACTCTTCCCAAGAAAGGGTTCAGGTAACTCTTAGATATGCTTTTTTCTTTCCTGTCCCTGGGGCATCTTGTCCGTATGAAAGCTGGTGGTATGGCATGGCTCTGGCCCTGGTCATGCAGCCAGTGGGCCTATGAGTCTCAGGGTCCTCTTTGGTCATGTCTATATGGCACTTCGCAGCCAGTTGGCCCCAGTGTCACAGGAGCAGCCCTCACAGCAGGACTTCTTGCATGTTGTCTTGGGGGAGAAGTAAGCTGACAGTTAGGGATCCCCCATGGAGCTGCACCAACCTGTTCTCCCCAGCCTGACTGAGCTTTTGCTTGAGATAGTGCAGTGTGCCCCTGGGGTCAGTGCAGTGTACTCCTGGGGTCACTCACAGGCCTTGTGTAGCCTTCTCCTGCAAAGGGTGATTCCCGGGGCATGGGGACTCCTGCAGCCAAAGTGCACAGCCAGAAGCAAGAGGCTGTGAAGTGAGCCCTTCCTGGGATACTTGCCCGTCTGCCGGCGCCCTCTGGGGCTCTGTACGAGGCTGCTAGGGCGCCACCCTGATGCCATCCTTCCCCCTCGTCCTGCTCTCAGACTGTCCCTGTGTAGCTGTCCCTGGCTGAGTCCTGCTGCCGTCTGCAGGTACCAGCTGCAGTCCCAGGAAGATCCCAAAGAGCGGCGGCATTCCCACACCATCGGTGGCCTGCCCGAGTCCGACGACCAGGCCGAGCTGCCTTCCCCCCCAGCACTGTCCATGTCCTTGAGTGCCAAGGGCCAGCTCACCAACGTAGGTCAGTGTTCTCCGGCTTTTGCTGTGGTGGTGGGGGAGTGGAGGTGGAAGAGGGTCCTCTCTGTGAGGCAGTGGATTTTGGGGTCTCATTGTGAAATGCCTCTGCTCTGAGTTGCTTCACGGTGCCTGTTTGTCCACCTGGAATCAGACTGGAGGCAAAGTGTCTCAGGATGCCATATAGAAAAGGTGTCCCAACCTGGGTACAAGTTCTGGGGTCCTTGTAGCATCAGGGAGTCTGAATAATGACACGGAAGACCCATGAGCCAAAGGTCTGGGGGCCAAACCAGTGCAGTGAGCTGCCGTGCCACGCGCCACCAGGGCAACAGACAGACTCAGCTCAGGAGAAGTGGGGACTAGTTGTTGATTCACAGACTGTGCCTTCAGACCCAGAAAATTCCAGCACCCCTGACTTGTTCTGTCTGGACCAGGGCCATTCTAGCCTCGAGCCAGAGCTGACTAAAGCCTCTCCTAGCTACACCCTGTCCAAAGCCCAGGGGGAAGGGAAGTGAAGAGAAAGAGGCTCCGGAAGTCAGAGCCAGGGCAGAAAGGGAGCTTGGGCTGGAGGCCCCAGCACAACAGCCATAGTTCTGGGGAGCAGTCGCCAGGATGGGTCCCTAGGGACCCTGGTTGGACAGTGCCTGCTGGAGGTCTCTTGCTCATCTCCTGTGTCTCTCAGAGCCATCTTTTCACTCCGCTGATTAAGAGCAGTTGCTGAAGGACAGAGACCCAAAAGCATGCCTGTGTGTGATGGAGGGGAGGCTGAGGCAGGCAGAAGGAAGGTACTGTTAGCCAGGGAAGACAGTTCTGGAGAAAGGGTCATCTGGCCTCTGCAGGGCCTGTGTGCTGTCCGCCCACATTGAGAACCGAGTGGGAATACACCTGCACTGGACAGTGAGGGGGTGGCAGGCACACTGAAGGGGGCAAGAAGCCCTCTTCTACATAGGTCTTCAAGGGCAGGGTAGGGACAGACATACACCTGTGCAGAGGCCAGAGACGTAACAGGGAACCCCATGTGGACATGTGCCCTGCAGGACTGTCTTCCCTTTCAGGGACAGGGTAGAGGGGAGTGGGGAGGTTCCCACAGGCAAGCAGGATGCAGCAGAGCCTGTTGCCTGCCACAGCCATGTCTGGCCTCCAAGCCAGGGGAAGGCTGCACATGGAGGGCCACCATTCTGTAGGGCCACACCCTTTTCTGGCTGATTCTGTTGCATCCTTTGGATCCCAATCTCGGTCTGAATTCTCAGTCTTCCCAAGCTGCCAACTGCTGTGCATGAGAGAACCACACCATCCCATTTCCATCGGGGATGGCACATCCCCGCCATGGGAATGTTTCAGAAGAGCTGCCAGCCCCCCAGCCTCAGCGGCCAGGGTCACGGGAAGACCTCCAGCCCAGGCAGCAGGTCCTTCTCTGCTAGGGTTTGCTCTCCCACAGGGGACCCCGCTCTTAGCCATCAGCTGCCTGCACACTCCCCCCGCCCCACCTGCTCCTCCTTTCCTGTTCCCAACCCCACCCCGTTGGCTTCTTACACTCCCAGTGCGTGCCAGCTGCCAAGGGCCCCAAGAGCTGATGCCCCTGCCTCTTCTCCTGCCCTCCCTCCCCCTCTCCCATCCCCTCCCTCTGTCCTTCCAGTGAGTCCCACTGCGGCCACCACGCCAAGAATCACCCGCTCCAACAGCATCCCCACCCACGAGGCGGCCTTCGAGCTGTACAGCGGCTCCCAAATGGGGAGCACCCTGTCCCTGGCCGAGAGATCCAAAGGGATGATTCGGTCAGGATCCTTCCGAGACCCCACGGATGATGGTGAGACTTCATGCCAGCGCGGTTCACGCTCATTCCAGTCCTGCTGGGTCCCCACTACCACCTCTTCCACACACACACACACAAACACACATACACACTCTTCACAGAACATGGACTTGGGCCATTTCAGTTCTTCCCATACCTTTGTAGGGTCTGGGGGCCCAGAAATCTCGGGTGGTATTTCCTGGCTTGGGGCTTTGGGATGGAACATCTGTCATTGGGGTCAATGGGAGGGAGACCAGGCGTGCAAGGGTACCATGATACTCTTGGGGTACTCAGAGAGCCCTGCCTGTGTACCCCATCCTTCCAGCCATAGTCTTGCCACCTTGCAGTCTCTCTAAGATGTACAGAAAAGATACCTGGGTCCCCTGGCAGCTCTTCAATCCTTAAACAGTAGTAGGCATCTGATTCTTCTTTCAGAATGTTTCACGGAGTGGCTCCCCAGGGCTGTCTGGTTGTTGGTGTTGATGTGCGCGTGGGTGTCGGTCAGAAGCTGAAGCCCAGGCCTTGTAGGGCTGGCAGACTTCTTAGCAGTGATTTTAGGGTGCATTGCTGCCTATTCAGACAAGGATTTACCATGTGCACCTGGCCGGGAAGCAGGGAGGTAGGCGCTGAGGCAGGTGCCCCCGGGGTTGCTGCAAAGAAGAGACACAGGCGAAGTGCAGCTGGGGCTCAGCAGCTCCATGAGAACCTTCCGTTCTCTGGCTTGGAAAAACAAGCCACGACTGTTTCTGCACACCTCCCTGCCCTGTGACCCGAGGAGCAGGCTGTGCGAAGGACACCTGCCACCCCAGGCTGCCAGAGTCTGTAGACAGACAGGAGGCCGACTGCGCCCAGGATCCTGGCTCGCTGGCACCAACTGCCGGCTTGGGACTGCAGTGGCATCACTTGGGGTCCCCGGTTCTGTTTGCTCTAGATGGCCTCCAGAATTAAAATCGGAGCTCCTACCTTGCGGCTCCACCCAGGACGCCCTTGTCCCAGCAACATGCACTAACTCTGTGTTTTCCTCTCTTCCAGTGCACGGCTCTGTGCTGTCCCTGGCCTCCAGCGCCTCCTCCACGTACTCCTCAGTAAGAGTGCTGATCTTGCCCCCCACCCCCTCCGCTCCCTCCATGCCATGCTCCCTGAGCCCACTCTGGTGGGGTAGCTGGGCCTGCAGTATCCTCCTTCGACCTTGAGGGTGTGAGGCACCCCCTTGTCAGAGTGCTGTGGGACTGGCAAGGGGAAGTGGGAAGGTTTCCAAGGCTCCATAGCGCTCATAGTGAGCAGAGCTGACCTGGGGTGCTGTGTAGACAAGAGGGGGATTGCAGGAACAAAATGGCCCCCTCAAGCTGGTAGCTGTCAGAGTTCATTTTCCAACTGGTCAGCGATTTGTCACACAGCCCCCTTGTCTGGATGTGAACTCCAGAAGAACCCATATTTTTAGCACCCCTACCCCCAAGCTGAGTCCCCTGAGCAGCAGGGGTGGGACTCTAGGCCGGCAGTCCCCTCCATCTCTGCCTCACGCTTGCTGAGTTCCTCTCCTGATTCTGGGGCCTGGCACTTCACCTTCATAGTAACCGCCTCCCCTTCCTCTCTCTCTCTCCTCCTGCGCTCCCTTCTTCAGGCTGAGGAAAGGATGCAGTCCGAGGTAGGACGCGAAGCTTTGTCTGCTCACTAACGCTGCTTTACCCCATTTCCGCCCACTTCCCGTGCTTTGCCCACCACCAGTAGTTTCCATTTCTCTTCCCTCCACAGCAAATCCGGAAGCTCCGTAGGGAACTGGAGTCATCCCAGGAAAAAGTGGCCACCTTGACATCTCAGCTTTCCGCCAACGTGAGTGCCATGGAGTAGGACAGGAGCTGCGCGGTTGTCCTGGCCAGATTCGGACCACAATTCCCCCAGAGAGGAAGGGCTTCTAACACAGACCACCCTGGGCTGGGGCCGCCACGGTATGGGGCAGCTTCCCCACTCGCCCATGGAGACCTGGGGCCTTGTCCTCCTACTCTTGAGTCACGTTAGTGACAGGAATGGGTGTGCTCATGTCTGGGGAGTGTCTCATCTTTGTCACATGCAGACACTGCATTGGGCATTACAATTCTCTCACCCAGAACTCCCTCATACCCACAGCCCTGGACAGCTGGCAGAAAGGGCCTAAGTCAGGATCTGTCCCCAGTGACTTGGGGCTTTTTGTTTTTCCGGCCTCACTTTGGCTGCTGGGTGAGCCAGAGCCACCTCCTCTGAGCGGGCGGTGGTGATTTCGCCCCTGGGACCAAGCTGCAGCCACAGAGCACATGAGCCGTCGTCCCATCCCCCGCCCCCCCCCACGGTCCCCGAAGCTGTAAACAACAGCTGAGCCGGATCTGCAGGAGCTTTCCAAGCGTACAAAAGGAGCCATGTCTGCAGTTTCCGCAGTCACTTCTGGTTCTCTCCCTTCCTCTCTCCGGGGAACCCAGCTGTCGGGCCTGGACCCGCCCCCTTGGAAGCAGTTAGAAGGCTCCCCACCAGGTCTTGTGTGTTGCCAGTCCACATGACGGACGGCAATAGTTCTCACTATGCAGCCAGGTGCACGCATACCTGCATGTTGGAGCATTTTTTCCCTCATTCCTGGGGACCTTTAAAAGTTACAGCATCAACAAGAAGCATCCTGCTGTCATGCCCCAACCTCTGAGGCTGGTGACTTGGGTCACGTCCTGCACACCGCAGGAAATTCATGTCTGGGAGATGCTTGAGGGAGAGGCACTGGGAGGCAGAGAACATGATTATGTCTGATTTACTTGTGCTGCCATCTGCCAGCCATCGTGCTGTCAGGGCTGGGCTGGAGCCAAGAAAGTGAGTGCAAAGGGTGATTTTTTTTTTTCCCTTAGAGCAGGAAGTTCCCTTTGGCTAAATGAGGACTCACTCAGCACCCAAACACACCACAGAGACCCCTACATCCCAGAGGCGGGTTTTCGCCCAGGGTCCAAGCCCTGCCCTGAGCAGGACTCTGGGGAGATCCCCCAGCTCTCTTGGGGATACTGTAATCCCACCTGACTCATGTCAGGTTCTGTGGGATTTGCTGCTGAAGCAGAAGAGGTGGAAGCACGGCCTGGATGGACCAGGACAGGCATCGGCCACCAATCCCCCTCACACGTTTGTTTTCTGCATGCCCACTGCTTAAGGACTGGGGGTCTGACCAGTCCTCAAGTCCGCTGCTGAAAAGAAGGACATACCTGTGGGAGGGGCGGAAAGCCCTGTCCTGAGCCAGGATAAGCACTCAGTGGGGTGGGAGGGTGGGTAGGAGTTCTGCCGGTAAGCAGATTTCCAGCCTTTAAGTTTACAGGCAGGCAAAGACATGGGGGTGTAGAAAAGCGAACAGGGAAGTGTGAGGTGGAGCGGAAGGGCACCAGTACGTTGTGCAGCAGGTGGAAGTAAACTGCTCAGGTCCGGATGCCTCCCTGTGTGAGATCCAGGCCTTTACATGGGCAGGCCCCACGTGTGTCCCAGGGGCCATGGGTGAAGACCACAGTTGCCTCTACAGGTTCCTTCACTTGTCTGATTTCCCGGTGCCGATCTGCCAAGAATTGGAACTGTGCCCATTCCACTTCACCCCCATCCCACAGTGGGGTAGGCCTCAGCTCCCCCTCAGCCTTCCCTAGGCTGCCTTTCACACAGAGGTCCCCTGCTGCCTCCTCCACCTCTTGTGAAGCACACCTGACACCTAGTGGCCACATGGCGGCATGTCCATCACAAGCAGAGCAAAGATCTGGCGGCAGCTTGGAAACAGGCCCACCGCTAAACTAAGACCCCTGGGAGCAGCCGGAACAGCTGCCCCTGGGAGGACCAGCTCCCTAAACAGTGGGAAGTTCAATCAAAGCAGTAGGATCAAGCCAGATATCATGACCCCCACCCCAGCTGCCCCCACATGTCTTGTGCACGTGCCTCTGGTAGGTGACAACCCCTCTAAGTCTGCCAGAACGCCCAGAGCCTACCCACCCTCCCACTGTCTGTGTGGTTTCAAGAAGTGCGTTCCTGCCCAGAACGCATTGTCTGCTCTGGACGCTCTACGGGGGTTTGTGGGCCTCATTTGACTCAGAGACACAGACGCCACTAGGCTTCTGTCTGTGGCTGTGGCCACCTTTGCCTAGCCATGCCGAGCGTGTGCAGGTAAAGGACCCTTCTTTGTGTTGTTGCAGGCTAACCTCGTGGCTGCTTTTGAGCAAAGCCTGGTGAACATGACGTCCCGCCTGCGGCACCTGGCAGAGACGGCCGAAGAGAAGGTGGGAGACTCGGGGAAGGAGGTGGCGGCATGGGAAAGGGACTCCTCTGGACAGCCTGGCTGGGGCCAACCTTCCTATCTTGAGTGGCAGCACCTGCTCGCCACCTGGTGCCACTGCTCCACCCAGCGGGGAAATTCCTATCACTTCTGTCACAGGACACGGAGCTGCTGGATCTGCGGGAAACCATCGATTTTCTCAAGAAGAAGAACTCAGAAGCCCAGGCTGTTATTCAGGGAGCCCTCAATGCCTCGGAGGCCACGCCCAAAGGTGGGGCACTGCGCTGCGGGTGCAGGGAGAGCGGCCACACGCCAGGCAGGGTACCTTTTACAGGTTTTTATCAGAGCCCATGATATGCTGGATGCCATAGCAAATTCCAAGGAGTCAAAGTCTGATGTCCTGGGGGCAGGGGTCACCATCCAGAGGATGGGAGCAAGTGCAAGAGGCTCACTAACCCCCTTGGGCCGGTGGGCCTTGGCCTTGCCCTGCAGGCCCAAGCCATTACAGAGCCTGCACCAAGCACAGTCACTGGTCCTGCTGTGTATCCACGCTCATGTGGGTTCCATCAAATGGGGACACTACTGAGGCAGCCACAGGAAGCAGAGGTTTTGCAGGGCTCAAATGGCATATCCTTTGGGGCCATCAGCAGCCTGCCAGCCTGGCTGCTGACACTTGGGGTTGGGGCCTGCGAAAGAGACGAGTCTGCTCCAGGCCTCCTGGAGGCCCTGGCTCCCTTCCTGTTTGCAGGCAGTTTTCTCTCCCATTGCACTATAAACAGGCCCCGCCATGCAGTGTCCTCTGGCACCTCACCCTGCCAGGGCCTCTGTCATCTAAGTGTGGCCCTTGTGCCCTCCCCATCCACCAGGGAGCACAGTTAGCAGCTTCCAGCGAGAACTCCATCCACTCTTGCCCATTCCATTGGTTTGGACCAGTTTGGTCCTTGTTTTTGTCTCCTATTTTGCTGAAAGATGCTACCCCTTCAGCCTTAGGACAGAGATCTTCTTTTTTTTTTTTAAAGATTTATTTTTCTTATTTTTTCATTGGAAAGGCGGATATACAGAGAGGAGGGACAGAGAGGAAGATCTTCCGTCCGATGATTCACTCCCCAAGTGAGCGCAACGGCCGATGCTATGCCGATCCGAAGCCAGGAGCCTCTTCCGGGTCTCCCACGCGGGTGCAGGGTCCCAAAGCTTTGGGCCGTCCTCGACTGCTTTCCCGGGCCACAGGCAGGGAGCTGGAAGGAGGAAGCGGGGCTGCCGGGATTAGAACCGGCGCCCATATGGGATCCTGGGCGTGCAAGGCGAGGACCTTTAACCACTTGCGCCACCGCGCCGGGCCCAGGACAGAGATCTTCTATCCACTGATTCAATCCCCAAACAGCTACAAAGACCAGGGATGGGCCACTTTGAAGCTGGGAGAGAGGAGCTTCTTCTAGATCTCCTATATAGGTGCAGGGGCCCAAGGCCTTGGACAATCTTCTGGCTTTCCAGGCGCATTAGCAGAAAATTAAATTGGAAGTGAAGCAACCAGGACTCGAACTGGTGCCCAAACAGGATGCTGGTGCCACAAGCTGAGGATTAGCCTGCTGCGTCATCATGTTGGCTACTTTCTAAGATCATCTTAGCTCTTTCCTCCTTCACGGGACTACTTACCTCCTTTTCACACCTAACCTCATTATAATTTTTATTCTTCTGTTACCATCACTCTACCAGAACTTTCATCTAAGGTCCCAGTGACCCCTTTTCCCCAAAAATCCAACTTACTGTTTGTACTTACTTTCCTTGACTTCTGTGGGATGGAGGTAACACCTGGTAAGAAGAAGTTCATTGTTTGAAGTCAAAACAATATGTGCTGACACCCAGCCCAGTGCCAGGCATCTCCTCTCTGCTGATCCCCCAAGAGACATCCCATCTTTCTCCATTAAACTCTCCCCCCAGCTTCCTGTTTTATTTATTTTAGAGACAGAGAGAGGCACAAGTTCCCATGGACTAGTTCACTCCCCAGTGTGAGCATGGAGTTGGGTCAGGACAGAGCCGGGAGCTGGGAACTCAATGCAGGTCTTCCATGTTGGGAATTAAGACCCAGCCACTTGCTCCATCACCACTGCCTGCCTGGGTACACAGAAAGCTGGACTCAGCAGAGGAACAAGATGGACGCCCAGGCACTCTAATGTAGGATATATTATCTCAGCTGGTGTCTTAGCCACAAGGCAAGTGGCCCACTCCTCTTTGCCTCACATGCAAGTTGTTCTTGCCATCTCCCCTTGGCCCTCTGCTCAATTCCTTTGTCCACCCTCCTCTTCAGGTGTTTCCCAGGGCTCCTCAGCTTTCTGCCACATCCCTACATGTTTGCTCTGGTGTGCACATTTACCTGGTAGCTTCTATAAGTTTTTATAAAAGTTGAAACACGATTCTCATACTGTAAAATTCACACTTGCGGAGTCCACAGGGCAGTGGTCTTTAGCATATTTGCAAATCTGTGTGACCAACCGTCATCTCTGTCTAATTCTATACTTTGATCAGCTCATACTAAAACCACTTGCTCATTTCCTGCTCCTCCCATCCCTTGTGAGCCACAAGTCCCCTTTCTGTCTTCAGGAATTTGCCTCTTATTACCACATACCTATGTGCGTGGTCCTCTGTGGCTTCTATGTGGGCTTCTATGATCAGCAGGGTGTTTTTAAGTTCCATCCATGTTGCTTCATGTGTCAGCACACCATTTCTTGTTGTGGCTGACAAATATTCCATCCAGTGACTGGGCTGCAGTTTATCTGTTTGCCAGTTGCCAGTGCTTGAGTTGTTTCTTCTTTAGGCCTGTTATGAATCGTGCTGCTGTGCACGAGGATGAGTATGCGTCCTCTTGGACGTGTGCCTGGAGTGGGACCAGTGGGCATGTGGGACCTCTAGGTCTGACCTGGTGGAAAAGTCTTCTACAGCAACTGAACCTTTCACGTGCCTGCTAGTTATAGCTGCAGGTTGCAGTTCCTCCCCTTCTTGTCAACACTTTCATTGTCCTCTTTCTTGTAATGGTCATCCCAGTAAGCATGAAGACGCATCTCAATTTACTTTTTTTTTTTTTAAAGATTTGTTTATGTGAAAGGCAGAGTGACAGAGAGAGGGAGAGGAAGAGACAGAAAGACAGACCCAGGCCCAAGCCAGGAGCTCCATATGGGCCTTCCACATGGGTGCCAGGGACCCAAGGACTTGGACCATTGCTGCTCTTTCAGATGCATGAGCAGGGAGCTGAATCAGAAAAGGAGCTGCTGGGACAGATCCACGGCTTAGATATAGGATGCCTGTGTTGCAAGCAGCTACAGTGCCCACCCCAATTTTAGTTTTCTCAAGGGTTGAGGATACAAACATTTTTTCCTACTTATTTGCTAGTTTTACTGAAGGCACACAGCACAAAATGAAAATGTCCAAAAGATTTCCTAACTTTCTGAGTAATATTTTATTCTATAACCTATTCTTTGCTCCTAAACATACTGTGTAACATTTTTTAAGTTCAACTGATAGGCATATAACTCATTGCAACTTTAAATTGACTGATGGAAGCCAAATGCATATATTTGTTTTGTTACATTTCATTTTGTTTTTAATGAACTAATCCCAGTTAAACTGATTTTTTGAAGGATTTATTTTATTTATTTGAAAGGCAGAGAGAAGAAACAAGAGATCTTTCTGCTGGTTTACTTCCCAAATGGCCACAACAACCAGGACGGAACCATACTGAAATCAGAAGCCTACAATTCTGTCTGGGTCTCCCACGTGGGTGGTAGAGGACCAAAGACTTGGGGAGTCTTCTGTTGCTTTCCCAGGTGCATTAGCAGAAAGCCGCATCAAAAATAGAGCAGCTAGGACTTGAGCCAATGTTCATATGATTTACTGGTGTCATTGTTAGTGGCTTAACCCACTGCTCTATAATACCAGCCCCCAGTTAAATTGATTTTTATCTGAAAGCAGTATATATTCTGGAGGTAAACAAACCATGGCCAATTAGCCAAATCACACGCCCCACATGTTTTTAAGTAGAATTTTGTTGTTCCTGATCACACTCAGTAATTTACATGCTGGCAACTTTAATGTTAGCACAGCAGAGCTGAGTGGTTAAGTATCTGGCCCTTCTCAGGAAATGTTTGCCAGTCCCTATGTAAACTGCATAAAAGGCATATGTGGTTAAAAACAAAATTCCTCCCTCAAGCCAGCCCTCCAAGTCTTGTTCCCCATGGGAAGACACTGCTAATACTTCCTATGGTTCTTTCAGACATCATAATCCAGGCATGCAACCAAACGTACAAGAGATTTTCAAAGGTTTCCTAAGGAAAGTGTGAATTATGAAAAAAAAAATCCTATTCAGGATTATAGAATTGCTTTGCACCCAAAGGAACTCAAACCAACTCGTTATAACATGCTTGAAGAGGATCTAATTTGAGATGCTGGGAAGGGTGAGACATTGGTTTGCAGCAACACGAATTCTGCTAAATTTAGAACAAGAACAAAGATAAAATTTATGGTGAAGCTTGCAAGGAAGAAATCATTGGTGAAATCATTAGTGAAGTTGTTAATGCCTGATGGCAAGTTCCTGGGACCAATATAACAGTTTACAAATGGATAAGTCATTTTAAGAAGGGGCGAGGTGAAGTTGAAGATGAAGCCCACAGTGGCAGACAACCACCATAAATTTTCAAGGAAAAAAACTCGTTTTGTTTGTACCCTCACTGAATATGACCAATGATCAGCAGCAGGAATGATAGCCAATGCCACCTACCTCTCAGCCGGTCCAACTTACAGAATTCTGACTGGAAAATTAAAATGGAGCACTCTGTGTGCTCCATGTCATGTGCACATCAGCTGCAGAGGAGGGCAACGCTTTCCACGGAATTGCCAACAAGCTGGATTGGCATCTGAAGCATCTCTGAGAAAGGGGCAGTGGGAAAGGAAACCTGGCCAAAGCGTTGGCTCCCCAAAAGGAGAGAGGGACCAGTGAAGAGCAGATGTCAGGGCAGCAGGCGTGGGGGGACACTGAATGCACTGAGCTTCTTGACTTTCTGAAAGGCCAAAGAATGTGACACCTGCTTACTGGAGAGTGGGAAAAGTAAGCTCTGGAGCTTTAACTAGTGAAGGGTCTTCAAGAATTCATGGATTGGAGCTGGTCTTGTGGCATATCACGTTTAGCTTCTACCTGCAATGCCAACATCCCATATGGGCACCTCTCCGAGTCCTGGCTGCTCCACTTCCCATCAGCTGCTTGCTGATATACCTGGGAAAGCAGCAGAAGATGGCCCAGGTGTTTGGCCCCAGGAGTGATCCAGATGGGGTTCGGGGCTCCTAGCTTTAGTTTGACCAGTCCTGGCCATTACACCCATTTGGGGAGTGAGTCACTGGAGAGAAGGCATAGCTCCCTCTCTTTGTCTTTCTCTGTAACTCTTTCAAATAAATAAATCTTATACTAAGTAAGATTATCCTGCTGGGGATGGTGCATCCTGCATCAGCAAGCCTGGTTCAAGTCCTACCTCCTCTGCTTTCCATCCAGCTTCCTGCTGGTACACACCCAGGGAGACAGCAGGTGATGATTTGTATACTAGGCCCTTTTTTTCTCTTCCTGTCCTGCTTTCCAAATGAACAAACATTTAAAAATTAAGTTTAACATTTTTATTTTGAAATATGATTAGCATTAAAACAATATGTATTGAATGAATACTCTAGACAATAATTTTTAAAGGATTTATTTTATTGGGACTGGCATCGTGGTGTTATGGGTTAAGCCATTGCCTGTGATGTGACCATCCCATGGGCACTGGTTTGAGTCCTGGGTGTTAACGTCCAATGCAGCTCTGTTACTGCACCTGGAAAAGCAGCATGGGGGTGATCCAAGTATTTAGGCCCCTGTACCATGTGCAAGACCTAAAAGAAGCTCCAGGCTTCAGCATGGCCCAACCCTGGCTGTTGTTACTGTTTGGGAAGTGAACCAAAGAATGGAAGATTTCTCTGTCTTTTCCTCTCTGTGTAAATCTTCCTTTCAAATTAATAAATAAATTTTATTTTATTGATTTCAAAGAGTAACAGAATGTAGCAGAAAGTGATTTTCCATTCACTGGTTCATTCCCCAAATGACCACACAGGTCACAGCTGGGCCAGGCTGAAACCAGGAACCAGGACCTCCATTTAGGTCTTCCTGTGGCTGCAGGTGCCAAGTACTTGGTACAACCTCCACTGCTTTCCCAGGTATACTGGAAGAGGGCTGGATTAAAATCACAGCAGGGCCCAGTATGTAGCCTAGCAGCTAAAGCCCTCGCCTTGAACGCACCGGGATCCCATATGGGTGCAGGTTCTAATCCTGGCAGCTCCACTACCCATCCAGCTCCCTGCTTGTGGCCTGGGAAAGCAGTCGAGGACGGCCCAAAATCTTGGGACCCTGCACCCATGTGGGAGACCTGGAGGAAGATCCAGGCTCCTGCTGCAGATGGGCACGGCTCCAGCTGTTGCAGTCACTTGTGGAGTGAATCATTGGAAAGAGGATATTGTTCTCTGTCTCTCCACATATACATCTACATATACATATACACATTTGACTTTGCAGTAAAAATAAAATAAATCTTTAAAAATAAAATAAAATCACAGCAACTGAACTCTGATATGGCAGCAGCCTTACCCACTACTCCACAGCATCTGCCCCAGAGAATAATTCGGACTTAGGAGCTGGTTGGTTCCCTCATGTCTTGCCCTCTACAGCTAAGCTTGCCTTAAGTCTTACATTCTTCCTGACTGTGCTTGATCCTTAGAACTTCGGATCAAGAGACAGAACTCCTCGGACAGCATTTCAAGCCTCAACAGCATCACTAGCCATTCTAGCATTGGCAGTGGCAAGGATGCTGATGCCAAAAAGAAGAAGAAGAAGAGCTGGGTAGGTACAGGCTCTGGGAGTGGGAGCTGCGGAGAGCATGGTGGATCATCCATTCCCACCTTGGTGCATGGGTTGGATCCTTCTGGAATTTACCAAGATGGAGTCCTCTTATAGTACTAAGTGCCAGTTGGAAGTCTGCTCAGGGCGAGATCTGCTGAGTCCCCATGTTCCCAGGTCATTCCCTGCAGCCTTCGTTTGTACCTGCTTTGCTAGGCCTTTCCGTACTAGTTAGGCCAATTGTATTTGACAGCCAACAAAGGGAATGGTGTATCAGCTACCTGGCCTAGCTCCCTGTACCCTTCCACACTACGGAGAGGAGATATTAAGGACAAAGCAATTTAGTCTAGATGCTGCTGGAGGTCATATCTTCAATTTTTGGAGTATTTATGCAGCTTCCAAAGTATCCTTTAGCTTGCCAGCTCAGTAAAAATTTTGTGTCTTGTGTGTGTGTGTATGTGTGTGTGTGTATTTCTCCCCAGGTGACCCTAAACCAACTTTCAGATGAACTTTCTGAAGGTCTTCAGGCAGGTCTGGAACCATCAGCAACTGTTGCTGACCACGTTAGGGGGAAAGCTGTAGGCCAGGCCTCTTGCTCCCCATTCCCTGTCAATAAGACCCCACTGGTCTCCAAGCAGTACACATGTAGCTGTGTGAAATGAGTGATTAAGCGTTGCTTTTTTTGTTTTTGTTTTTGTTTTGTTTTGTTTCCTTCCAAATGCTGACTTCAAATCCCTATTTTTTTCCAGGTCTATGAGGTAAGAGACCCGGTTCTTCTCCCTTATTTTCTCTTTCCCTTTGCCATACCTTTCCTACTTCCCAAGCCACTCTCACCTCCTAAGACAAGAACAACCACTCATAACACTAACCGCAACCGCCACTGCAGAGTCCCCCACTCACTCCACTGCATGGTCCATCCACAGCTACCCCACCTGACAACAGAGGCGTGGTCTGGCTAGGGGTCAAATGGGCATGTCAAACAGAAACCAAACCTATCTCCTGCTGTCCTCCTCTGGGATAAACTTGGCCTGTTGAAGCCATTCAAATTGAGTTCTTGCTGTCCATTAAAAAACTAAGAAAATGAGCCATTAAGGCTAGCAGCTGAAAATGGAAGAGCTAGGGGTGAAAGTTCTTTCTATAAACACAATTTCCAGAAAGCAGTTCCATTTGGATTTGGTCGGAAGATTCTCTAGAGTAGCATGCAGCAAGGTAGAGGAGGGACATGGTCCAGCTTGGGGTGCACTCAAGCCAGCATGTCCATGGAGTTCCCAGAGAGGTTTCAGGGATCACAACACGTAACCCAAGACAAATACAAGCTAGGAGCCTTAGCAAGGATATGAGAGATGGAGCCAGTCATCTCAGTAAGGTGACAGCAGTACTGCTGGAGAGACAGAAGCAATGTTGGGCGTATAAAATACCAGTCTGATGATGCCAAAACCTTCAGGCAGAACATGCCACAGGGGTGACAGTGGACAAGGAACACACCGTGGAGAAGGTCAAAGTTACATTGAGCTGGTATTGTGATCGGAGAAGAGGGATGTGTTAGAATACTTTACCCTCAAATGCTGGTGGGAAGGGAAGCCGTGGGGCAAGGAGAAGACCCACAAGAGGCACAGCCCTGACCGTGTGTGGTGGAACATAAGCATTTAAACTGGCTCGTTAGATGGGCATTTGTCAAAGTGTGTTCCACATCCAATGAGATACTCCCTAAAAAGTGCAGTAAGTTTGAGAAGCACTGTGCTTCTGTGGTGCCCACCTGCACAGGAGATGTTCTGAGCTCTCCCAGAGTTGTTGTCTCTGGCTGCTTGTTCACTCTTTCTGGAACTCACTTAACCATGCAACCGTTAGCCACATGACATCCAGCAGTTCTGGTTTTCAGATACTGAACTACACAAGGTGCACTGTTCATGCTTTAGGATCTTAGTGATCTTAGAGGACTGCTGCACCAGGCAGATTGTGGTCATGGGATCTGTCTGCTCGCACATGGGTGTGCAAATGGGTGTACACAAACACACACACGCACACACACACACACACACACACACACACCTTCCCATGAGGCTGAGTGCCAGTCTCAGGTCTTCCATGAAACTTGCGGTGTCAGGCAAGTTAGTTGTTGGGTACTGCCAGCCCCTGTTTCTCCTCTATGGAGAAATGAGCTTGATGGTGCTTCTGAGCCCTGACTGCTTGGTGGGGCCAAGTCCCTGCAGCCAGCCAGCTGCATACACTGGCTTCCACTCAAAGCTTTGTGTGGCCAGGTTGGTGCACCTGTGGATTGTCCCAGTAGCTCTGCCCAGCACCTGGCAACCTGGCTACATTCCAGGAGACACACGTAGGAAGCTCAGAGGTCCCCTTTTCTCGCTGACTCCGGATGGGTTTGCCTTTGTGCCCTGCAGCCTTGGACCCCTCCTTGACTCTGTCTCCTGCTGCCATTCCGTGTCCATGTCCCTGTGTGTGCGCGTGTGCATGCTGTCCGGATGCATGTGGATGGGTGTGGGACAGGACTCCAGTTTGCATCCCTGGCTTCCATCCCTGACACTTAAGCTCATCAGTCACTGAGAAGCAGCAGGCAATGATCCCATTGTAATGTCTCAGGATTTTAAGGAAATACCATGGATCCTGGAAATTTTGAAATAGTAAAATGTGCTTTTTTTTTTTTTTTTTTGGTTGTTTTAACCCTGCTGGGCTGGGCTGGTTAGGACAGATGAAATACTCCAAAAAACCTTGAGAATACTGCCTTCTCTTGCTCCCTACAGAACTGTGCCATTAGTTTCTGATTGAAGGGTACTGGGCTTATCATGAGCCTCAGCTGGAGATACATCCTGAGACCTGGAGTGCAGGGGCCTTCTAGACTGACCAGCCTGGGTCGGCTTGAGAAGGCAGGGTTAGATGGCTGAGGGGTAGACACAGCACCTCTGGGGAATTCTCTCTGTCCCCATTAGGGACCCAGTCCCCCACCCTCATGGGAGAGAGACAATCTAGGAGGTTCGCATGGCCTATGAGAGCAGCAAGCCAGAAACGCCCACTATTGCCCTTATCCCTCATCCCCCCCTCACCCACCTGAGCCCCTCTGCTCACCTCCACACTCAAGTGAAGCCTCCTAGAGGGAAGCTTAACCACTCAAGCCCCTGTCTGCACCCTTCTCTGTCAGTCCTCTGCAGAGTGGATCCCTGACAGCCCCTGCCCTGGGTCTGCTTTTTTCCAGCTCCGAAGTTCCTTCAACAAAGCCTTCAGTATTAAAAAAGGCCCCAAGTCCGCCTCCTCGTACTCCGATATTGAGGAGATTGCCACACCCGACTCCTCTGCCCCCTCATCCCCCAAGCTCCAGCACGGTTCCACGGAGACTGCCTCTCCCTCCATCAAGTCCTCCAACTCCTCCTCTGTGGGCACTGATGTCCCCGAGTAAGTGCCGTCTAGCCTCCTACTCCCCTGCCCCAAGTCAGCTTCCAGTGTCAGCTGCTGGCCAGAGTTGGCCCTAGACATGGTTCCCTCACCCCCTCTCCCTGGGTGTGTGAGCCCAGCAGGTGGACTCTGCCTATCCCCTGAATGATCATCTACAAGTAGTAGGAATCACAGCTGCCACCCGGGGCTGCTACTCAGTTGCTCCTCTCTGTAGCTTGGCTTGACCCTTGCTCTTTTGCAGGGCTCCTGCCCAGTCAGCTCCCCATGCTGCCAGACTATTCCACAGCAATGAAGAAGAGGAGCCAGAGAAAAAGGAAGTCTCGGAGCTGCGCTCGGAGCTGTGGGAGAAGGAGATGAAGCTCACAGACATCCGCCTGGAGGCCCTCAACTCCGCCCACCAACTGGACCAGCTTCGGGAAACCATGCACAACATGCAGGTTGGTGCTTGGGCAGACAGTGGCAGGAAAGGGAGACCCGGCCTTGAGATGTGTCCCACCCTGCTGCCCTGCTTTGTCTGTTCTCCCACAGTTGGAGGTGGACCTGCTGAAGGCGGAGAATGATCGGCTGAAGGTAGCCCCCGGCCCCTCCTCTGGTTCTACCCCAGGGCAGGTCCCTGGATCGTCTGCTCTCTCATCACCTCGCCGCTCACTTGGCCTTGCACTCACCCATTCCATCAGCCCAAGTGTCACGGATACAGGTAATCTGTTCGGGTGGAAGGCAGTTGGGGCAGAAATAAGGAAAGGATTCATCTCGCAGTGATCCCGGGCCACCTGCTCAGCCTTGCAGCAGGACAGTCACGGGCAGCTGCCAGTGTCCTGGCCACCTAGCACCCTTATGGTCCTTCCATTCCAAGTCCTTGGCAATTTGGAAAAACTTCTTGTTAACCAATAGTGATCAGAAGGTTTGGGAAAAGCTGCAGGTATCCCTAACACCGATTCATACTTTTCAATCCCCCGCAGAACTGTCACCCATGGATGGCATCAGCACTTGTGGTCCCAAGGAGGAAGTGACCCTACGGGTTGTGGTCCGGATGCCCCCACAGCACATCATCAAAGGGGTGAGGAGCCTCAGGGAGGAGTGATGGAGAAACCAGAATGATGCCCAGGGTCCCTAACTTTCTGGTCCTACATGAGTGATGTGCATTTAACAACAACTCAACTTCATGTTTTTTAAAAATTTTAACTTTCCTGGGCTCCCAATGTGCAACTTCGTCATCCCTTGCACTTTAGGCAATGGTGGCAAGCCGTAGCCCTCAGTCAGCCTCACAGTCACAGGTGGGGAAGCCCGCAGCTTCAGCATGGGCTGCGTGGCTCATCCAGGGTGTTTGTAGCTTAGGTTTCTTCCATGCATTTTCAACTTAGGGCGGGAATGTCAGGTTCTGATGCCTCCATCAGTGGAGGAGCGGCTGTGCTGTCAAATCGATGCCAGGAAATTGGGGCTCCCTGTGCTGCCCGAGCCAGAGCACCCCATCCTGGGGCTCACGTCCTTCTCTTCTAACCCTCACAGGACCTGAAGCAGCAGGAATTCTTCCTGGGCTGCAGCAAGGTCAGCGGAAAAGTTGACTGGAAGATGCTGGATGAAGCAGTTTTTCAAGTGTTCAAGGTAAGGGGCCACGTGGAGTTACCAAGGCTGCTCACGCACTTACAGGATATGGAGCCATTGGACAAGGAGATCCAAGGGACTTGGAACTGCTCCAGGAGAACAGATGTGTCCTCCTCTCTCTACCCCCTTGTCTGAACCCTCTATCACTCAAAGCAACTTGTGGAGGGCGTGTGTCTCTTCAGGGTTCCTCACTGTCTCCTGTTCTCCTGTTTGCTCTGACAGGACTATATTGCTAAAATGGACCCAGCCTCGACCCTGGGACTAAGCACTGAGTCCATCCATGGCTACAGCATCAGCCATGTGAAGCGCGTGCTGGATGCTGAGCCCCCTGAGATGCCTCCTTGCCGCCGTGGGGTCAACAACATATCTGTGTCACTCAAAGGTTGGTCTTTGTCTCCTGGTGGCGGGGAAAGGAGCATGAGCTGACACACTGTGCGTCACGCATGCATTCAGGAAGAATTTGCTGACAGGCACTGAGGGGACGCTGCTTACCTAGTGCAAGATACAAAGACCTAGTGCTGCGTTTTTTCCAGCCACACCTCCCCTCTAGCCCAGAGTGGGTCCCTCAAAGTGAGATCAGAGTTTTCATACTAGGATGCTCCAGGGTTCCTGAGGAGCCCTGGGGTGGAAGAATCACAGTGGGCCCCCAGGTAAAGAAAGAAAAGCTTTTTGGGGCTCCCTGCACACCCACAATTCACACGCTCTGTGGGGGCTCCAGGTCTGAAGGAGAAGTGTGTGGACAGCCTGGCCTTTGAGACGCTCATCCCCAAGCCCATGATGCAGCATTACATCGGCCTTTTGCTCAAGCACCGGCGCCTTGTCCTCTCGGGCCCCAGCGGCACGGGCAAGACCTACCTGACCAACCGACTGGCCGAGTACCTGGTAGAGCGCTCTGGCCGTGAGGTCACCGAGGGCATCGTCAGCACCTTCAACATGCACCAGCAGTCCTGCAAGGTACCTGCCCTGCCCCTGCCCATCAGCCCCCAGTCCACCTCGCTCCTGCCTCAGCCTCACCACAGCCTTCCCAGGCTGCCCTGGCCTTCCCATTTCCCCTCCCTCAGCCTGGTCTTCCTTCTCCTCTCCTTCTTCTTTCCTTTTCCCAGGCTCCTCCTCCAAGTGCCCAATTCCTTCCCAGACTCTCAGAACAGCTTTCTCAATCCACATTCTGCTAAACTCATTTCCTCTCAATGGATCTTTGCTGAAACTAGACCCTCCTCCTTTCCACCACACTGGCTGCCAACCCTGTCAGTCGTCCCTGCTGTTCTTTACTTTCAATATGACCCTCTCATCATGGGATTTTTGGGAACAAGCAGTCAGAATTGAATGTCACACATACTGCACCCGGCCCTGCCCATTCCTGAGATCTCTTGAGCCAATGCTTGTGCAGGTATTGATTTAGATCTTGCCTCTGCCCAGCTGGGAGAAGCACACATCCTTGAATCTTCTGCCACTGACCCAGCACAAACCAATTTAGGAAACACCATAAGTTCCCCACCTTTGGAGGACCATGAAAAGATGGTGGCAGTAAGACCTCAGGACCCTCATCAGCAAGCTCTAGGACCAGATACCCCAAGTGTATCAGATGGAACCAGAGACCCCTGGGAATTGCACAGCTGGTGAACCTGCTACTGCCTCCTCATTCTTCCCAGGATCTGCAGTTGTATCTCTCCAACCTGGCCAACCAGATAGACCGGGACACAGGCATCGGGGATGTGCCCTTGGTGATCCTCTTGGATGACCTGAGCGAAGCAGGCTCCATCAGTGAGCTAGTCAACGGGGCCCTCACCTGCAAGTACCACAAATGGTAAGCAGTAGCCAGTGCTAGACTCACCTTGGGCCAGCCTGTGTATGCCCATTTGGTACACGTTAGCATGAGGCTTAGTCGATCTCTTCCGTCTTCTTCCCCTAGCCCCTATATCATAGGTACCACTAATCAGCCTGTCAAAATGACACCCAACCATGGTTTGCACTTGAGCTTCAGGTAAGACCTGGGCCCCCTCATCCAATCCAAGAACCTATAAATTAGACAGTTTAGGGGCCCTGGCCTGCGGGCAAAAGAAGGAGCCAGAAGCCTTCAGGATGGGAAGAGAAAATGAGCATATTAGCCAGTCAGTTGCAGGATAGAAGAAGACCCTGACAGGGAAGCCTGGAATGATTCTCAGCCCTGACACCTGCTGAGTGCCCGGGCAGGGTCCCTGGCTCCAGAATGAAGCCCAGGCTGGAGGAGGGTGGAATGACCTGTTGGTGTCCCCACTGCTATCACTGTGACACTCCCATCGCTGTCCACGGCGGCAGGATGCTGACCTTCTCCAACAACGTGGAGCCGGCAAATGGCTTCCTGGTCCGATACCTGAGAAGGAAGCTGGTGGAGTCGGACAGTGACATCAACGCTAACAAAGAGGAGCTGCTGCGGGTGCTGGACTGGGTACCCAAGCTCTGGTACCACCTACACACTTTCCTGGAGAAGCACAGCACCTCCGACTTTCTCATCGGTATGGGCCACAGTGCTCCCCTGGGGGTTGGGATGCTGCTGCTATTTTTGCCTTGCTGCCACCTAGGGGGATCTCAGCACGTGTTCCCCACACAGTGAGTGCTGTGATTTGGGTAAATCACTTCAGTCCCAGCTCCTCTGCTTCTCCTACAGTTAACGGGGAGAAGGGAACATGTGCAGGAAGAAATTTAGAAGCTCCCCTTGCAAGGCATGGTTTAAAGATAACCAACTGAATGATCAGCATACTGGTCTTGACAACTCCACATTTCCTGTAGCTTTTGCATGTCAGCCCATCTGCGTGGTCCTGGGCTACATCTGTGTGGTCCTGGGCCCCATCTGCATGGTCCTACGCCCCATCTTACATGGTCCTAGGCCCCATCTGCATGGTCCTGGGCTCCATCTGAGTGGTCCTGAGACCCGACTGTGTGGTCCTGGACCCCGTCTGCATGGTCCTACGCCCCATCTTACATGGTCCTAGGTCCCATCTGCATGGTTATAGGTTCCATCTACATGGTCTTAGGCTCCGTCTGCCTGGTTCTAGGCCCCATCTGCCTGGTCATAGGCCCTGTCTGCATGGTCCTAGTCCCTGTCTGCGTTGTCTGAAGCAGCATGGAAATCCCAGGACTGGAAGTAGCCAGTTTTTCAGCCATCAGCATGGCCCCATTCCCTCCCCACAGGCCCGTGCTTCTTTCTGTCCTGTCCCATCGGCATTGAGGACTTCCGGACCTGGTTCATTGACCTGTGGAACAACTCCATCATTCCTTATCTCCAGGAAGGGGCCAAGGATGGGATCAAGGTGAGTCCCAGGCCAAGCCATCCCTCTTGGCAGAACAGAAGCAGTTCTGTGACATAAGGGACGCATGGACTCTCCTTACAAGCGGAACCAAGTCTTGGAGGGACAGAGCTGTGTGTCCCACCTCCAGCCATCATTCATTGGGCAGATGGCTCAGTGGCCACCATCTGGGTCATCTGTTCAGTTCTGGGCCTTCAGGCTCTAAGCCAAATTCAGATCATCTCTAGGAATCAGAGCAAATAAAAAACATCATTGACCTAAGAGTTTCATAACACCCATGATAGCCTTAGCTACTTACTAATGACTGAAAGCATGTGACATCAGCCAAGCTTGGTAATCCTTTTAATGTCTTCATCTGATTTAAAAAGAAAAAAAAAAGACTAACAGATTCTATTCTGCCTAATCCCTAGGATGTTCTAAAAAGATGAAAGATCTGAGTGGATTTTCAAAGTTAGACTAGGGGCAGGCATTTGGCTTAGTGGCCTAGATGACTAAAATCTCACCTCGGAGTACCCAGCTTTGGTCCCCCTTCCCAGCTGCTGCAGCTTCCCCCTGAACTGGACCCTGGGAGGCAGCGAGAGATCTGGTCTGACTTCTCAGCTCCTGGCTTGACCCCAAGCCCTGGCCTGCTCTACCACTGCAGGAGTTTGAGGAGTGAACTATGAATGGGCTCTCCCTCTGACTCTTAAGTTTTAAAAACATGGTTTTTTAGTTAGAACAAAAGCTTTGTGCACATGGCAGGTGTCATTGTTTTTAAATGTCCTCGGCTTTCTTGCCTATCAGGACTTTGTGATCAGTGAAGTTCATAGCAGCACTAGTTAACAGGATGCCATCACTGGCACTTTGTTATTGAGACATGAATTTCTTGGTGACAAAGTCAGTTTCTAGAGATGCCATCTGTCACACTGATGCTAGAAATCATTGTTTCATGTATAAATGTATGGTAATATGAGTTTTCTGTGCTGTTTAATAGTTTTATAAAAGCAGTTACACACAGTATGTTTTCAGGAAAGTTAATAAATTTGAAAAACACATTTGGTGTAGAATTTAAGACTTGTAATGTCTGAGTTCAAGTCCTGGCTTTGCTCCTTTGATGGCTGGGTCCTTGCTCCCCGCCTAGGGGACCTGGCTTGAGTGCCCAGTTCCCTGGTATATGGGGTATAAGCCAGCAAGCTCTTTGTTTTCTTTGTCTCATAAATAAATAAACAATTTTTAAAAAGCAGTGACAGGCTACTTGGGATGCCCATATCCCATATCAGTGTTCATTCAAGATCCAGCAACTCCGCTTTGGTTCCTGCTTCCTGCTAATGTTCCTGAGAGGCAGCAAATGATGGCTGTAGTGCTTAGGTCCTGCTGCCCATGTGTGAGACCAAGATGGAGTTCTGGGCTCCTGGCTTGTGTCTGGCCTGCTATTGCAGGCGTTAAGGAGTGAACCAGTGAGCTGAAAATCTGTGTGTGTGTGTCATTCTGCCTTTCGAACAGATGAAAATAAGCCTTTTTCAGCATCAAGACTTTAGGAATGTGTTATGACTAACGCTGTTATTTCCTATTTGAAAAGTTAAAACTGCAGGATCACAAGATTTATGCATATTAAGTTTTAAAGGCACAAACCAAGGCATCCATCAGTAGATGAAAGAAAATGTGGTATATATACAGTGGAGTCCTATTTAACATTAAGAATAAGTAGGAAGAGCTGCCATTTACAACAATATGGGTGAGCCATTATGAATGAGCCATACATAAAAACACAAATAGCGCATGACTTGGTCTGTGGGATCTAAGACACTGGAATTCAGGAAGAACAGCATAGTAGTTACCAGAGGTTGGAGAAATGTTAATCAAAGGATATAAAATTTCAGTTTGAGAGAAATAATGAGCTCAAGAGCTCTGTAATAAACCTTAATAACCAAAGCTAATAACTGAAACTCTCAGAATAAATTTTAAGTATCCTCACAACAAAAAATGTATGAGCTAATGCATGTTTACTTAGTTCAACTTTGTGTACAGTGCATTCATATTTCAAAACATTGTGTGCTACATATCACAGATATGTAGTTTTACTTGCCAGTTAAATTTAGAGGCTAATTTTTAGTACAATCTGATAATTTAACACAACCTCCAGAGTGATTTCAGAAGCTTTTTAAAAAAGATTTTTATTTATTCGAAAGGCAGAGTGCTAACAGAGAGAAGGAGGAGAGACAAATCTATCCACTTGGTCACTCCTCAAATGGCCCTAATACCTGGGGCTGGGCCAGGCTGAAGCCAGGAACCTGGAATTCTGTCTGGGTCTCCCTCGTGGTGGCACAGGTCCAATCATTTAAGCCATCCTCCACTTCCCCACACACATTAGCAAGGAGCTGGATCGCAGCCAGGACTCAAACCAGCACTCCTGTATGAGATGGAGGGTATCATAAGTGGTGGCTTAACCTCCTCTGCCACCGTGTGGGCCCTCCAGAGGAATTTAACCAGTTTACCACAACTTAACTTGGTTGCAGTATCACAGTGTCACAACTTCACGTTTGAGAAAGGGCACATCCCCACACAATGTGCTTTCTGTGGGCACTGCTGTGAGCATGGCCACAGCCTCTGCTCCATGGAGTCTCCACCCAGTGATCTTGTCTCTCCTGATCTCCAGGTGCATGGACAGAAAGCTGCTTGGGAGGACCCAGTGGAATGGGTCCGGGACACTCTTCCTTGGCCATCGGCACAACAAGACCAGTCAAAGCTGTACCACCTGCCCCCACCCACCGTCGGCCCTCATAGCATCGCATCCCCTCCTGAGGACAGGACAGTCAAGGACAGCACCCCAAGCTCTCTGGACTCAGATCCCCTGGTGAGTAAGAGCTATTGTTAGGTATGAGAACAAGCAGGATAGACTGAGTTCATCCTAGTCTTCATGTGTGCCCTTCTGGGGGCCTGGAGGCTGAAGAGTGTCAGCCAGGCTGGGTCCAGGAGGAGTCCAGCAAGATGTGTTCTAGCTAAGGCCAGGGCAGAAGCCGATCCCTCAGAGAAGTGGAAAAGTAGGTCTTGTGAGCCTTCTTCCCACTTCTTCCTCTCCTCTGATGGCATCCTGAAGGCTGTGTCCACTCCCTAGCCTTCATAGTACACACCCTAGAAAGCAGCTAAGTGACACACCTGGAAGAAATTTTTACTGCACATGTAGATACCTAGATGGATATTTAGCTTTTCCAGACTTAAGAATGGAGAAAGGATGCAAACAGGCATTTGACTAAAGGATATGCAGATGGCAATAAAGGCATACAAAGCAGGCTGGCACGGGGTTAAGGGCCACTTGTGACACCAGTATCCTGTATCAAAGTGTTAGTTCCAGTCCCAGCTTCTTCACTTCTGGTCCAGCTCCCTGGGAAATACCTGAGAAGGCAGCAGAAAATGGTCCAAGTTCTGGATCCCTGTCATCCATGTGAGAGACCCAGATGGAGCTCCCAGTTTCTGTTCCATCTGTAGCTGTTGTAGCCAACTGGGGAATGAACAGATGGATCGGAGATTCTATCTATCTATCTATCTATCTATCTATCTATCTATCTATCTATCTTTCAAATAGATTATTTTAAAACACTTAAAAGATGCTGAAGCTGTCTGGTAATTGAGAAAGTGAAATGGGAACAAGGAGATGGTTTTCTCATCATCAAAGATCATGCATGTAGAGGCATGGATTTGTTTTTTTCTTTCTAAGTTTTACTTATTTGTTTTGAAAGAGTTAAGAAAGAGAGAGATGCTGGGGTCCGTGTGATGGGTATGGAAGACAGGAAGGTGTGAAGAGTATTGTTCCATTGCAGGCAGGGCCACAAGGAATTTCCCGCTGTTTGGCAGGGCCAGGTGGATGTCTCTACAACCACCTGAATGCAGCTCCACCTCCCTTTGCATGGACATCAGACAATCCCACTGAGAATTCTGTAAACTATTTAGGCATTGTCTGCCTCTGTGGAGTTAATGTTTACTACCAATGTAAGCTTGGAAATTGATGTTGCTGATACTGTTTTAAGCCAAAGGGCCTTTTATTATTGCTGCCCCCATTGACCATATGCTAATCAAGGGTGTTCCATCCCCAGGTGTAGTGGGTATCTATTCTTTCCCTCTTTCTTTGATCTTTAGGTCCTTCCTTCTGTGATGCCTTTCCTCCCTTAACTGATTCAAGATTAAGTTGTAGAATGAGAATTATGGTAGGAATGTGTTACTGATTGATATGCACCATCTATTGAGAACTTCTTAACCACAGGGTCAGGGTGGATAACATCCTGCTTTAAGGTGAAAAAAATGGCAGAATTATCCTTAGAAACACCCATTTGACCATGACCTAAAAAGTCTGAGCCAGAGTTTGACTGGTTCTGTATAAATAAAGCGGACAGCTTTATTGCATTGTCCACAATGATCATGGAATCTTAGTGGTCCGTCTCTCTTTCTCTCTTTGCGCCTCATCCACGCACCCTTCTTGAGTTCCGAACTCAGCTGGAGCTGGACTCTGGCAGAGAGAAGAGAGAAAAAGACAGAGAGAGAGAGAGAGAGATCCTCCATCTGCTGGCTCACTCCCCAAATGGCTACAGTTGAGCATGGACCAGTAGTGAAGCAGCTGGGACTGGAACCAACACTAGAGAATCCAGGAGCTTCATTCATATCTCCCATGGGTGGCAGAGGCCCAAACCATTGCACCATCCTCTGCTAAATTCCCAGGCACATTAACAGGAAGTTGGATTGGAAGTGAAGCAGGCAGGCCTGGAACCGGTGCCTATTTGGTGCCCATATACAGTACCCAATGCTAGGCACTGCAGATGGTGGCTTTATCCATTACAAACACTGCTGGTGGAAGTGTTCATTGATAAGATCATTTAGGAGACAGTTTGCAAATTACATTGAATCTTAACATACACAAATCCTGTATCCTTCTGCTTTTCAAGTCAGAATTTCTTTTAATTTAGTCATAAAGAGATGTTACCTATAAAAAAATTCTTGTAGTTGGCATTGTTGCATAATGGGTTAGCCACCACCAGCAATGCTGGCCTCCCACATGGGTACCAATTCAAGTCACAAATGTTCCACATCTGATCCAGCTCCCAACTAATGTGCTTTAAAACAAAGCAGCAGAAGATGGCTGGGCCCCTGCACTCACATGGGAGACCTGAATGAAGCTCCTGGCTTCACTCTGACCCAGCCCTGGCCCTTGTCTCCATTTGGGAAATGACCCAGTAGGTGGGAGATTTTCTCTGTCTTGATCCCTCCCTCTCTTACTTTGCCTCTCTGTGTGTAACTTCGACTTTCAAACAAATAAAATAACTCTTTTTTTTTTAATTTTTTATTTGTTATTAACATTGTATTATGTGATACAATTTTATAAGCACTGGGGAGTCCCCCCACCCCTCCCACACCCCTCCTCCCATAGTGGATTGCTCCACCTTGCTGCATAACTGCGGTTCAAGTTCAGTTGAAATTCCTTCATTGCAAGCATATACCTAGCATAAAGTCCAGCGTCTTATTGTCCAGATAAGTTCAGTGGCCTCTTGGGAAGGCCTTCTCTGGTCTGAAGGTAGAGCTAACAGAGTAAAGTTCCGGTCAGTTAAAACCCCCAACAAAACATCCGCATCAATATACAATGTTATGGGATTAATTGGCATAGTATTGAGTGAACAATATGTTAAAAAAAAAAAAGTTCAATTCTTCAAAACATCTGGGTTTAGACAGTATCAGTGACAGATTCAAAAAGTAACAATCAACCAAGCATAAATTACAGGTTAAATTAAAATAACTCTTCTAAAAATATATTTAAAAAAGGAAAATTCTAGGACTGGCACAGTGACTTAGCAGGCTAGTCCTCAGTTGCAGCACCATCCCATATGGGCACTGGTTCATTTCCTGGCTGCTGCACTTCCAGTCTAGTTCCCTGCTTATGGCTTGCCAAAGCAGTAGACCATGGCCCAGATCATTAGACCCCTGCACCCATGTCAGAGGCCTGGAAGAAGCTTCTGACTCCCAGCTTCAAATCAGCCCAGCTCTGGCTGTTGCAGCTATTTGAGGAGTGAACCAACAGATGAAAGATTTTTCTCTTTCCCTGACTTTTTCAAGTTGAATAAATAAATCTTGGATGGGGGAAGGAACATACTTTTAAATGAAAGACTGTAAGTAGTCCCGTAGACATGAGAGGACAGTAGACAGATTGAGCAGGTTGGCATGAGAGGGGCCCAGTCTTAGAGCATTAGGGCACAGCAGGTGAAGAGAGGACAAGGGAATGCACTGAAGCGCTTTGACTTAAGCTAAAGCAATAGTGTTTGTGAGCTGGCGGCAGACAGGTTCATAGTAACCCTGACTCTGGCTCCTGGCTTATCCTCCAGTGGAAGGGGATGCATTAGGGAAAGCCACTCTCCAGCACTTCTTGTGTTCCTCCCCATGTGAACTCATAGAGACAGGCATTGTGTGCTCCCATGGAGTCTGGAGTGCAGCCACCCACTGGGCAAATGGTCCTATCTTTCTGGCATTCCCCACGGTGATCAGCGTGGCAACTGGAGCACCAGAGGTGCCCTTGATGACTGATCAGGGAATCTGAACTTACTAGCAGGTAAAGCAATTGTAAGTGTTCCTGCCGAACTTCAAGCTCTTTTTTTTTTTCCTTTCTCTCTCCTTTTTCCCCTTCTCTCTCCCTTTCTTCCTTTCTCTCTCCCTTTCTCTCTTTCTCTCTTTCTTCCTTCCTTCCTTCCTTCCTTCCTCACTCCCTCCCTCCCTTTTCATTTTTAAAGTTTATGTCATTAAAAGGCAGAGAATAAAACAGAAAGAGTGTGCTCCCATTTGCTGGGTCACTTCCTAAACGCATGCCAGCAGCCAGGCTGAAGCTAGAGGCCACTGAGTGGCTTTAGAAACTCACTTGCTTGCTCCAGCACCTGGTGTCTCCCAGGGTGCATTAGCAGGAAGCTGAGCCTGGGAGTGCGGCCAGGACTCAGATTCAAACACTGATAGGGGATGCAAACATCTTAACCACTCCGCATCAAGTCCATGCCCCTAGTCACTCACAAACCGAGGACCAGGACATGCTTCCGTTCCGTGGGCTGGTGGAACCTTGAGTCCCGATTCTCATAACCCCATCTCTGTGCTCCCTTCAGATGGCCATGCTGCTGAAACTTCAAGAAGCTGCCAACTACATTGAGTCTCCGGACCGAGAGACCATCCTGGACCCCAACTTGCAGGCCACACTCTGAGGGTGCAGGGCTCCCTGTCATCCCAGACAGCAGAAGACTGGCGTCAGCTGCAGCAGCTCCTCCTCTCCCCGCTCTTCTCCAGCACCTGCTCCTGCCCCAGGAGGAGACAAGGAGGGAGGAGGGGATGGGTGGAAAGGGCAGGTTCTTGGTGCTACACCTTTGAGAACTTCCTAGTAAGGACTGGTGGGGTAGCATTGGGAACTTGTGTCCCATAATTCCACTTCCTTGATGTCCTCTCATGACTTTGGGGGAAAGATGATTCTGGGTCTTTTCCTTAATTTCTTGTTTCAAACTCCTAGGCTTCCAGGGGAGGGATTCCGAAGTCATGACAAAAAAAAAAAAAAAAGACTGTGCAGCAGATCCTGATGCTCACGGAGGAGTTAGGCATGGGGGAAGCTGAGGGAGGCAGCAAGTTTCCCAGACTTTCTCACATCCCCTCCCAATCTGTCTCCGCTGCCAACAACTCTTCCCGGAGATCTGGCTAGAGCCCAGAAAATCAAGCATGTAGTTTAAAAAACGTTGCAATCAGTCTGTAAAAGGTTTTAAATACACACACACACACACATACACACACAATGGAAAAGATGAAGCTGGAGAAAGGGGGACCAGTTGCCTGGGTAGAAAGGGAGCCACCCCCCTGCCCTTACCACTGTCTTCTGATTAACATGGGCAGTTTGACGTGCTGGCTGCCAGTCTGAGTCACCAGACCACAACAATAACATCACAGCCTTCGGGGGAAGACAGATAGCTCTGTCTTTCCGCCCTCTAATTTAACACTCATGAGAGTCAATAAACCCTACTCTTTATTTTTTATTTCTGCTTTTTAATTTTATTTCTGTTACCTCACCCTACCCTGCTCACATTTGCCTACTTATTTTCATTTTCCTTTCCTTTCTTTCATTTCTTCCATTTCCTCACAGGTCCACAATGTGCTGAGCTGCTTTTCCAGGGGCTGGCCAGGCTTTTACTAGGGAATTCCTTTGGAGAGTCCTGTGCCACCTAGGGACACCAGCTAGACATCTGCCATCCTATTGCCTTTGGCAGCCACAGGGCTTCTGTGAGACTCGAAACCCTGGTTCAGAAGCAGGGGGGAGAAGAGGAACTCCCTTACCTTAACCTCTTTTGAAAAAGCACATGGTCTTCCTGGGAGCCCAGCCCGCCAGCCCGCCAGCCCCTGGGGAGAGAGGGGAGAGCCCCACATGGGCCAAGAGCTAAGCTTCAGTGCAGACCACAGGAAGGCCAGGAAATAGGGAGTATCTCTGTGTCTTGTGGCTTGTTTGGCTTCTCACTGCCCTGTCCTAACAATAGCCACGTTGCCTGATGGAATGGAAATCCCTGAGCTAGTCCCTCCTAGCTGATTGGTGAACACTCGCTTAGAATAGACTGGGTCTCCCGTGAGGGATGCCACAGGTTGAAACAGATGACTCAGGGAGTGGGGTTGGTGGCCAACATCTACCTTCCAAAGAGATCCCAGCTGCTGCACCATTTGCCCCTTTCTTGTCCTAAAGAGCTGGGAGTCTGTTCCACTCTTGAGCACTTGGTACCAGTTTCCAGATAAAGATGTGTATCCTTCGGGTCAAATGTGGTGGGAAATGGGAAGCTCCATTCAGTGCACCCCTCCTTGTTACCTGCACATTTAGGACCATCTGAGAAATGTAGCGGAAATCCAAGGAGGAGCTAGAAAGAAGCCTACGATAGATGTGTCCAACACCTCCCCAGCACATTGCAGGGCCAGAAGATCTGGAATCCTGAAGAGGAAGCCTGAAGGACTGTGGTTTGTCTGGAATGAGCAAGTCTACTTCTGCTTGTTTCTGGAGGCCAAGGTGGGGCCAGATTCCTGGCTAAGCTGCCAGATAGGCTGTTTCTGAGCCCTGCAGATCAGGGCTGTGTGATGGACCTGGATTGAAGGGTTTGTTCTTCAGATTCCTTAGTAGCACAAGACTCTGTCAGAATCTGTTCTCTGGATCCCTGTTGATAGGAGAAATCTTCATGGAGGTGCACAACGTGGTCCAGATGCCACCCTCTCCTCCTCCCCAGGCATCTGTATTCACCCGGCAGGTCCAAGGACTACAGGGTCATTGTGCTGGGGACTGACTCTTCTTGCTGTTGCTGCTAATTTCCTGAGCTGTGACAATTCCCAAACAGCTCAGCTGTACCATATGCAATTCTGGAGTGGGAAGAGGCTGTGCAAGGATGGTGCTGAAATCACTGCCTTAAGGTCTCTGCTGTGCAGAACGAGGAGGCCCCAAAGCTGCATGTTCCACCTGAGCAGGAAGAGAAGACCTGATGGGCCTGCTTGGGACCTAAGCCTCTCCTGAATGCTAGCCAGAGCTTTAGTCCCTTGGCCAGGCTCAGACTGCTAATGCCATCTTCATTTGATGGTTGAGCCCTTAATTTTCTGCTTTCTGGTGCTGCCCCAGCCAGTGCCTTCTCTCATGGATGTTACTGGCCACTTGAAAACAAAGGAGAAGGGAGAATCCCTTCTTGCACTCCAGCTGCCTTGGACCCCAAAGGGATCTGGGCATCATGGATACCACCGGGGCTCCTCCTTGAATCCTCAGCAGGTTGACTCTGAAGGCTTCTCGCACTATGACTGTGGGTTTGGTCCCGGGGACTACCACCCTCTCAGCGGACTGCTGCATTAAGCCCAGGTCCCCACAGTCTCCTCCAGCATGTGTGTTCCCATCTGGGGAGGTGGGATAGAAGCTTTCTGGAGCCTGGGACCCTGTTTACAGTCGTACATCCGGGCCCCTTGCCGAGGGGATCCATCATCTCATAGAGGAACCGTGGCTGGTGGCATCTGCAGAAGGTTGAGCCTCCTTGTGGTGCTATAACCCCTTGGGATGCTCATCCAGACTTCTCTGAAGCAGCAAACCTGAGCTGCCCCATCACTGCCCTGGCATTAATGGCAAGGAGAAAACCCATGGCATTCTCTCCTACCTACACAGCTATTCCTTGGTAGCGATAACTAGGGATCCTTCAGCAAAGAAAAACGGTTTCCTTGGCTAAATTCTCAAGCCTCAGGCACCTTCAGCCCTAATCCTGGAACCTGTGCTACTCCCTTCCTCTGCAGCCCCTCAACTCCATCCCTCGCCAAAGCTGGCTGACAGTAGCTTGGTTCAACACCCCACATCCTATGGGGAAAGCCTCAAATCCAGGAGCAGCTCCTCAGCAGAGTCCCCCTCATCTCTGGAAGAAGACCAACGAATTGTGTCCAGTGTGCTTGTTTCTTGGACCATGCTAGGCACTAAAAAATAAAATACTAGGTAATTGGAGGCTAATGTGGGACCCGACATCTGCGTGTGCTTGTTTGTGGGTTTGTGTCACACAAGAGCACTTTGCTGTTGCTCTTTCCTTTCTTCTGAGGCTTCATAGAGTATTTTTAAAAATCTATGCTTCATGGCAATTCTACGGTGCTTACTTTTGTCTTTGTGTAAATCCTTATGCCAGTGTCTTTCCTGGAGTCCAGCCATTGGGAAGGTAGAGACTGGTGGGGACATGTTTGCTGGAAGCCCATGGACAACCCCTACAATGAAACCTGGTATACTATGTTTTGCCCGTGAATTGCCAACCTCCTAAATAATCTATCAGTAAGGATTTAAGACCAAGGTAGTGATTTTTTTTCTCTCTTTATTTTTGTTCCTACTGATTTTCCTGGCTTACAAGACTATGTGGACCTAATCTTGCTGCCTGTGCAATTTAGCTCTCTGAGCCAAAGGACACACATTCAGGGAGAGTCTCCGTTGCAAGGGTCTCAGGAGTAACTATTTCCTGGAATATTCAAGAAATAGAACTCAGAAACACCTTGCATCATACATCATCACCTGGGAAGGACCCAGATCCAGAGCCACTACATGCAGGTGAAATTTGCTAGACTAGATGGGATTCAGTGATATGATCAAGAAAATCTTAAAGGATTTTTCAGTGCAAGGTGTTGGGGAGAGGAAATTGTCCTAATCATCTATCTAACACGGGGCTCTAGTGCTGAAATAACCCAGAACATCACACACAGCTCCATATAACTCCATACTTTCTTAACTCTGGAAGCTGACAAGTCAACAGTCTTGGGGATATCATGTTCCCCCGACCCCAGAGGTGCAACCCCTTTATGACTCAATAAGCCTTTCATGTTCCCAGGCTTCGGTCAGCCTTATTAGGGACACACAGGATCACAGGTGGGGCACTCCCACTGTCCAATTTGATATGTGTGAATGTCTGCTCAGCCTAGCTCTGGATGCAAGTACTGCCAACCACAGATCCTAGGAGAAGTGGAAATAAGCTAAAAAAAAAAAATCATAAAGTCTTGAGGGGAGAGAACCGTCAAGGCTTCAGGGAGACCAGGACAGCTGAGAATTAAACCAGTGTTTACTGGACCCTTCCCTTTGGTGCTTTAGCCATTTTTCTTGGTTGTACCATGGAGAACTTTAATGTGGTCCTGGAAGTTCACTACCAGTTCCTTGATTCAATTTTTTGTTGCTTAAATCAGTGATTGTGGTTCCAAACGAGCAGCTTCTGGAACTGTATTAGAAATTATTTAAGGCCCCATCTCAGATCTACTGAATTAGGAACTCTAGGGGTAGGTCCAGGCAAGCCATAATTTAACAAGGCCTCGTGATGATTCTGAGTCACACTGAAGTTTGCAACTGTCTGTTTTTAAATGCAAAGTCACACATTAGAATTCTTACTTGGGATCAAATAAGAAGGTCCTATGTCATCATTTAGACATTGACGTGAACTTTAAAAGTCATCTCATCCTTCTGTATGTTTCTGTTTTTCCTTTAAACAAAGGAAAAGGACATGGGTTTCTGGGCAGAAGCTAGGGAGTGTTTACATCTTTCCTAGTTGACACAGCCTTCGCAATGTCATGCCTGGAAACCTCCACCTGCAAACTAAGGGGCTTTACCAGAAAAAAAACAAAAACCTGTTGGAGGTCTCTTCTAGATTCCTCTTCCGCCAAGTTCCTTGAGTCTATTTTGAGCCTGTTTCTGATTATATAATCAGACAATGAAAGCTGAAGTAAAAATTTCACTTTATTTCCATGACAACATGTTCTCCCAGCAACGTTCCTTCCCTTAATTTGAGCTATAGAGGGCACTGCTGGTTCTGAGAACCTGGCCAGAATCCCTTTCCCCAGGGAGCAGATTCAGGGCTCCCAGATCCCCAAGAGACAGTGATGAATGAGTGATTGCAGTGCTGGACACGCACTTACAGCCCAGGCTTTCCACTCCCCACGCTAGAACCTAGACACAGAGCTACTTGGCCAAAGCAAGAGAGTAAAATCCTTCAAGAATCTGAAAAGGGCTTTTCATCTTCCCAGATGTACAGACAAAACAGATGAGGGTTAGGGAGGTGAAGCTGTTAGAACTGGGTTTGTTTTGAATTTATGATGTGGAAAGAGCTTCAGCAGAGAAGAACACAGTGAGGCTTAGGGGTCTTCTGAGTTCTGGAACCAAGTTTTACAAGAAGGACAGCACCAAATAATTTGTAAGCACCCCACAGGCCCAAGAAAGCCAGTGAGGCCCCCCTCCCCTTGGCCATCTGTGAAGTCCCTGCTTCTGGCCATTTCTCTGCGAAGGGTGACACGGTGAGGACAATGCAAGGGCTCCAGTGTTGCTGCCAGTCTCTGAGCTACTGCTTTGCAGTGGCTCTGCACTTCCTCATATTTTTGTTCGTTTTTAACAACAAAAAAAGAGATTCCCAGCCCCACTCACTTCCTCCTGCCCCTCCTGTGTTTGGCAGCAGCATCTGTGTGGGGAAAGACTGTCACATGTATGGTACTCCCCGGGGGAGGGTGTGCAGGACTTGTGACAAAACTTTTTTTTTTAATTTATTGGGTGCAAATCCCAAACGAGGATATGTGTGTCTCTGTGTGTTTATTTTCCTCCTCATCTAATCTTCCTCTCTCCACCAACACCCTCTGCTCCCCTTTGTAACTGAGTCTGGAAAGCCAACTGTTGTATATAGTTGCGGTAACAATCATGAAGAGAGCTGGGCTGTGTCCTCCCCCCAACCTCCGACCCCGTCATACATTTGACTGACCAATTGATTGAAAACCAAATTCAGGCTGGGGCTGGCGGCAGAGGCCTTCGTTCATCTCACCTCGGCAGCCCCTCCCCGAGGCCCTCTGTCCACCAGGCATGTGTCCTCCCAGCAAGATCCATCTGTTCGATGCCCTTTGCGTTTCAATAAAGTTATCTCCTGTATTGTCTACTGGTTCTCTCAGCTCCCTCTCTGCCTGGTTTCTGTCTCCATCAATCTTACAGCCCAGTCCTTGATGGGAAGGGAACCCAGGAGGAAAGCCCAACAGCCTGGCAATGTCTGGCTCCCCTACGTCTGAAGCAGTGATCTTGGCTCCTCTGGTTGGGCGGTAGAGGCTGTACACAGTGGACAAAGGGTCCTGCACCAGAATCCAAACTGCCCAGCCCAAGTCAGGGCTCGTGAGTCCTCCCCTAACATGTGAGTGCTTTCTAGACACCCCTGAAGAAGTGAACTAATCTGTAAGACGATTCTGGTCTAATGGAGTCAGCGTCTCCTGGCCACAGGAAGTAGACAAAGCAGTCTTAACCTATTCCTGTTGCAGCATTAGAGGCCCAAGAAACCAGTTTCTCCCTAAAACATCCTGGTAACACAAGTCACCTCTGCCCACTGTCCACCATGTCCTGAGCTGGCCCTGAAAGAAATCAAGAAACCATTCTTTGGAAAAACGGACCAAGGAACCGCCAGCTGATTTCCTTTGGCAATAGGAAGGAGAGTAAGAGTTCCTGGATACAATTCCAAGTCTCAGAACATCCCAACCAACCCCACACTGCCGCCGTTCCTCCCTCTGCCACTCTGCACTGCAGGCCCCACCCCTCACTGATCCTTTACACCTGCTCTTGTTGTTGGGCCTCTTGGCGCCCTGGGCCTTGTTCTGCCTCAGACCCTGGGAGCCAACCAACCTCCTCCCCCACCTCTTAGAAAGCACTGTGTTCATGGCGGGCTAAGGGGCCTAGCGCTCAGGGGTACAGAATACACCCAGGAGGAAATTGCTTTCCCATGCGCTTTGCAGTTTGGAGAGTGGGCTGCTTGATGAGAGAAAGCCAAGAGCCTTTCTAAGGCGTCCACTCCCCACTCCTCAA